TCATTTATTAGGAAGCTAGGTTTCATCTGGGTGCCTGGTTGGGGTGTGTTTGAGCTGGAGATATTGGGGGGGTCTGTTTGTGCCCAGGTGTTTGCCTGGCTTGTGTGGAGATTTTTTTTGTTTGAGAGTGCAGGCTTCCAGATAATTGACAGTCTGGTGGAGTCATCTCTTCTATTCATGCTTTCAGGTCTTTTTTCAATCTCTGTGGCTTCTCTGATAATTCTATAGCTGGGGTTTTCTATAGTGTCTAGGGTTTTGGTGCCATTGAAGTCGATGTTATGACCTGTGGCTTTCATGTGTTGGACTAGTGAGGAAGTGCGTTCCAGCTTTTTTACTGCACTTTTGTGTTCATCCAAGTGGGTACTTATTCTTCTATTGGTCTGTCCAATGTATGTGGCAGGGCATGATTGCACAGGAGACTTCATATATGCCTTGGTTTTCCAGGTCAATTTTATCTTTGGGGTTTCTTAGGTTGGCTGCTATTTTTCTGTCTGTTTTGAAGGCAGTCTTGATGTGATGCCTGTGTAGTATCTTACTGATTTTGTCTGTAGTACCTCTTATGTAGGGCAGGACAGCTGTTCCATAGGTCTGTTCATCTTCTAGGTCTCCATTATGTCTCAGTGTGTTTTTGTGGATCAAGCCAGTGATTTTGCTTTTGTGGAAGCCGTTGGCTGTCAGTACTTTAGTCAGGGTGCATAGTTCAGTCTTTATGTGTGTGTTGTCTGCCAGGCGTTTGGTTCTGGCAATTAGTGTTTTGGCCACTGAGTTTATCTGTGCTGGGTGGTGGTGGGATTAGGCGTTGAGGTAGCGGTTCGTGTGTGTTTCCTTCTGGTATATGGTGTGTCCTAGTGTGCCATCTGTTTTTTTGTAGATTAGTACATCTAGGAATGGTAGTTGCTTGTTTGTTTCTGTTTCCATGGTGAACTTGATTTTGGGGTGTGTGCTGTTTAGGTGTGTTAGGAAATCGTTTAGGTTTTCTTTTCCATGGGGCCAAATAACAAATGTGTCATCGATGTATCTTAACCATAGATTGGGTTTGTGGGTGGCATTGACTAGGGCTCTGGATTCGAATTCTTCCATGAACAGGTTTGCAATGACGGGTGACAGTGGTGATCCCATAGGGGCTCCTTCAATTTGCTTGTATCTTTGTCCTTTGTATATGAAATATGTGTTGGTTAAGCAGTGTTCTGCTTGTTCCATGAGGTGTTTAGCTGGTTGGTATTTATTTTTGATGATTTCAAGAGTTTCTTTTATCGGGACTTGAGTGAATAGTGAAACCATGTTGAAACTTACAAGAAGATCTTCTTGTTCCACGTATAGATCTTTAATCATTTCCAAGAGATGGTATGAGTTTTGTACATGTGAAACTGCTGCTTCAGCATGTGGCTGTAGCTGCTTTGCTAGGTATTTGGCTAGGTTTTGTAGTGGTGCTCCTCTGGAGCTGACTATGGGTCTGAGAGGTATGCCTTCTTTGTGTATTTTTGGGAGGCCGTATAGTTTGGGGCATCTGGAAGATTTTTCTCTTGGGATGATCGTCTATTGGATCTCTTTGCTCATGTGGCTGGTTATAATTTTCTTCTTGGTTATTTTTTCCAGATATGTGGTTAGGTCCATGTTTATGGGTTTGTATGTGGAGTCTTGCAGTAGGTCTGTCAATTTTGTTTCGTAGTCTTTTCTATCCATTACTACTGGGGCATTACGCTTATCTGCTGGAAGTATGATTATGCTGCTGTCGTTCCTTAGGGCTTGCAGGGCTTTTAGTTCCTCTCTGTGCAAGTTGCTTTTGGGTGGTTTGCTTGTGCCTAGGATGTTAGTGACTTGGTGTCTTATTCTATCAGCTTCATCTGTATTTAATTTAGTTAGGCTGGATTCCACTCCATATATGATGGATTCTGTGGGGATTTTTTTGGGTGCTATAGCATAATTGAATCCTTTGGTTAGGACATCTGTTTCTGTTTTGGTGAGTTCTCTGTTGGAAATGTTGTATACTAATTGTTTCAGGTGTTGTTGTGAGTTGTTGGGGGCGTTCTTGTCATGTTCTAATTTCTGTAGTTTCTTCAGGAGTTTGTCATTTTTGTAAGTGGTTTCAGATTCAGCTCTCCAAGTTGTAAGTTGTTTTATCTTGTCCCAAAGTAGAAGGTGGATTTTGTTGCTCAATTCCAGGTGTAGAATTAGGAGATCTTTGTTTAACTGATCGAGTTGGAATCTCTTTCTGTGGAGCTCATTCCTGAGTAGAGCCATTTCAGTTCTTTTCAGGATACGTTTAGTAGCTGCTGTGCTGTGATGAAATTTTAATTTGAAGCAGGTCGGTGTTGCATTGTTGTCTCTGCAACTGCGTAGGAATTTGAGGTCACATAGTATTCCTGCTCTTTTCACTTCCAGCTTCTCATAAGTTTTGGTCTGACTGTTTATATCCTCCTCGTAGAGGTCTGATATTTGTTTTCTGAAGTTTTCCCGGGTATTTTTATGTATAGTATTCAGCTTTGTTCGGGTATTTTCGGGCACAAACAGACTCTCCCCCATACCTCCAGTTCAAATACACCCCAACCAGGCACCCAGATGAAACCTAGCTTCCTAATAAATGATAGCCGTCTGTTTACTCGGAGCCAAGCCGCACTAAAAGCCTCCAATACAGGAAACACAATGTTGCCAGCCAATTAAGACAAAAAAAGCTACAAGACAGAAGATATTAGAAACATCAATCAAGCAGAACACAGCAAACTCCAAGTCCAATAAACACAGACCAAGACTCCCAACCAATCAGGATGAAGAAAAAACCATTCTGGCACAGCAGTAGGCTAGCACCAAATTTAAAACAGAAACGGCTGTGAAAGTCTGACTCACAGACAAACACTATACAGAAGCCTGATGATAGCCGAAATGTTGCTACAACTTTAAAAGCACAACTATAATGACGTGGGAAAATACCTGAACAAAGCTGAATACCGTATATAGCTTCGCCAGCTGTCGCACCCCCGACCCCAAAACCAAACAAGCTGACACACGCCAAGAACACAGACCCAGACCCCAAACTCGAAGCCAGACTAAAACCCAGAATGCTACATTACAGCCACCCGCTCAGGATATCACATCAGAAAACTCAAGAAATTACACCACAAGAACTCAAGAAGTTGCAACACAGCAAATGACCCAGGATATCACAGCACAAGACCAAGGATACCACAACAATAAATCTCACAAGGTCATCACACAACCCATTACCCAAGCTGTTACTACACAGGAGGCTAATGGAAAATAGATCAAAACATAAACGACCCAGGAGATTACAACACAGGACCCAGAATACCACAACAAAAGAACTAGCAAGCCCATCACACAACCCATTACCCCAGCCGTTAAAACACGAGAGGCTAATGGAAAAAAGATCACTACAAAACAAACGACCCAGGAGATTACAGCACAAGATCCAGGATATCTCCACAACAAAACTCACAAGGCCATCACACAGCCCATTATACCAACATCAACTCTATCAATCAATCAAGAGGCAGCAGCACAGCCAACCAGCCCAGCACACCAGCCCCCACCACCAGTATTTATAGAGAGATGGCAGCTCCGATCACACACTGCTTGCACTGGCACGAAGCCGAAAGCACCAGCCTGAGGTTGGCGAGTGGGACCTCGCTGAAACATCACCAAGATACTTTTAATCTTACACGGGAAAAGGCCCAAACATACCTAGACCTACATATATATACTTGAGAGTCTGCAACATTTATCTGTGTTAAACAGTCCATCATAGAGCAATATGTTTTGAACCAATACCTCAAGTAGGCTAATTTACAGAATGTGCCCAAAATCCAGGAGCCATCACGCCCATGGAATTAAAATTTGGCAAATTTTATAAACATTTTATGACATAAAAGTTATTATAAAACATTTTTGACATAATACAAAATGCCATAAATCATTTCCTGTGGTCAACTGCTAATATTTGACTGTGCTACATGGTTCA